TCTCTTTCTCTCTCTCTCTTTCCTGCAGTGCTGGGGATCAAACCCAGGATCTGTGTGTCTCTCTCTCTCTCTCTCTCTTTCCTGCAGTGCTGGGGATCAAACCCAGGATCTGATGCACACAAAGCAACTCCCCTACCACTGAGCTATGATGCCAAAACTGTATTTTCAAAATTCCGGGGAAGAATATGAGAGAAGCTTTTTCTGGCAAACACACTGAGACATCAACAGAGAATCGAGTTCCTTCATTCAACACAAATGTCCGGGGTGAACGAGGGATGCTGGTTTCTGAAAGGATTTGCTCTCTGAAGAGTCTTCAGGCGCAGTGTGAGGGTGCACCTCTATAATCCCAGTGGCTCGGGAGGCTGAGGCAGGAGGATCATGAGTTCAAACCCAGCCTCAGCAATTAATGAGGCCCCCAAGCAACCTAGTGAGACCCTGTCTGAAAATAAAAAATAAAAAGGCTAAGGATGTAGCTCAGTAGCTAAGCGCCCCTAGTTCAATACATAGTACCCCCCAAAAAAAAACCCAAAACCCCAAAACCCCCAAAACCCCCAGGGTCCTCGGGCTTTCACTGGAACCTGTCACAAAATAGGTGTTAGCATGGGACTGTTGGCCACGTGGGGAGAGGTGAGAAGGGAGAAAAGAAGTTGCCTTCATGCCCTTAAATGGGTCGCCTAAAGGGACAGCATTTGAGGGACATTGGGTAAATGCTGGCCGACCCAATGAGAAAAGAGGTCGGTGCTGACCGCAGCAAACCCGAGTTATATTTGAACCAGCAGAAAACCTCCTGCCTCTCAGCACAATTAAGACGAGAAAAACAACAAGGAACCCTGGAAAACAGCCACCCCAGCCTCCTCTCAAAAATAGGACCCATCTGTCCTGGCAGGCTTAAAGTGGCTCCTGGCCCTTGGGCAGGGGCCTGGCCAGGTTGACCCCTGGAGGCCCCTCCCAGCGCTAGGATTCCATGATTCTATGACATGGCCAGCAGTCTGGAGTGGCAGCATGAGGGTATCCTCAGTGGAGAGCCAGAGGAGGTCTATGTCATCTACCTCCTAAGAGACAGAGTGAGAGGGGAGCGGGCCCTGGTCACATTTGGGGCCCGGCCAGCCAGGGGGAAGGGCCAGTCCTGCGGGAGTCAACCCTCAATCCTCTCCATTTTTTTTTTTAATTTTTTTAAGAAGCAGATGGGGTGGGGCTGGGCCGGGCAGGGAGGAGGCCTGAGTCTGGACATTCCACTCAGTACAGACTCGAAGGACAAGAGCAGCTGAGGCCGGACCCGGGCAGGCAGCTGCTTTCTGAATGGGGTGGGCTGCGAGACAGCTGTGCTGGCGCTAGGCGCCTGGACGCTCAGCACGAGCAGCAGTCATGGGCAAGAGGGGCCGCAGCTCTCCTTCTGGCTGGGGTGTGGGTGGCGGTTAGAACTGAGGAGCCAAGGGACAATGGGGACAACAGGTACTCCACTGCCCTTGTTAGCCCAAGCTGAGCCCAGGGACAGGAGGTAGTGAAATGGACTGGGCATCTCTTGGGCCTGGCCAGGTCTTATCCTCCATGAATGGCCTATTTGGGGGCCAGGAGGAGTAGGAACCCCAATGCCCCTTCCTCTGGTAGGTCAAGTGAGGAAATCCTATATGGTCAGAGAGCGGCAAGACCAAACAAGTTGGCAGGTTCTGATCGTGCAAGCCCAGCCCCATGAGCAAACCTGCTCCGCTGGACCCTCAACCCCACTTGAGTTTCCTGTAGTCAGGACAAACTTGGCTCCAGGATTAGCTAGTACCCTTCTCCCCCCCTGCCCCAGGGTCTCCCTGCCAGGGCTCCTGCGCAGGCCCGCAGAGTTGGTGTGGTGAAAACTCACGCTTAACAGATCGTCAGGGAGACCAAGGTCACCCTGGCAACACACCATTGTCTGTGGGGAGGCCATCAGACATTCCCTCGATGCTACCCTGGCCTTTACAAGCTGTGTGATCGCAGGCTAGTCACATTACCTCTCTGAGCTTCAGTTTCTCCCATCTGTCAACTGGAACTAGAACACTGAAGTGTGGTGGGAATTGAATGAGTTGATCCGCATAGGGCACAGGGTGAAGGGCCGGGTACACAGAGAATCTGTGAGTGTTGAACTGCATCAAGACTGAGACAGTTTTTTTTTTCAGTATTAGGGGGCATTGCTTGGTAAGCTACTTGATAACACCGAAGGCCTATCTGTGCTTGCAATTTCACTCGTTAGAGATTCTGTCCTTGGCCTTTGTGGTATCCTGGAGTTCCTGCTTCAAAGGTGGACGGAAATTTCAGACCGGGATCGAGAGCTAGAGAAAGGAGAAGATCCTGCCTCTGCTTTTCCTAGGAGGCCCTCTGGTCTCCGTCTTTCTGAGGATCTTGCCTTCCTCCCTCTCTCTCGCCCTTCTCTTGTACTTTCTGAGGATTTTCTTCCAGTTTGAAGAAATCCCTGAGCCTGTGGGGAGGAGAAGGAGGGGGATCAGGGCAGTGCTGGACGTCTGGGGACAGAGAGAACCCCTAGAGAGAGAGTCTGGAGGGAGGTGGGAGGGAATCCCGGTGAGCCCACCCAACTCTCTCCTCTCCAGGTCCAGGTAAGCAACCTCCAGGTGCGGCCACAGCTCAGTCACCAATTTGATCCCCCCCCCCAGCCAAAGTGATGTCTGGCCGCCCAGAGAGCAGATCCAACTCTTGCAGTAGCCGTTCAAATAATCTCAACAACCCGTCCTTGCCGGCTCGGACTCCAGGCTGGACCCAAGGCTCTGGCTCCAACGACACCCACGACGACGTCAAGGGCTCCCGCATCCGCACCCCCAGTGGCTCAGACTTCAGCTCCTGCAGCAGTCACTCAGAGCCTTCCTTGGGTGTCAACTCCCCCAAACTCCTCAAGGGGGGAGTGTGCATGGGCCGGCCCTACAACTCCAAGTGCGTGGAGTCAAGTCAATTGGAGAAAAGCTCCAAGGTGGCCAGGAAGACCTCTTACCAGCCCTCTGAGGGCAGCCCCAGCTGCTTGCTCTGCTCAGAACGGCCTTTGGGCCCCACCGGCTCCAGCTTCTTGGACCAGCTCATCAAAGGCATCAACTACCTGGACCGATCTACCAACGCCTTCTACAGCAACTGCCCCAAAACGCTGAGCCTGCCGCGGCTCGCTGCCAGCTACCTGGAACGAGCTGCCAACTCCCTCTACCTGGACCACATGGACCGCACCTCATCCCGAAGTTACTCCGCCCCCAGCGGCAGCCTGCACGCCAGGGACGGCTCCAAAAACAGCACCTGCATGGTGTCATCCACTAGGGGCGCCAACGAGCTGCAGTGTCTGGCCGGCTCCACCAACCAGAGCTGTCCCCACCAGCATCATGGCCACAACCTGACTTCCATGCGGCAGAGGCCAGGCATCAAGTTGACGGAGCTCCCCTTGTTTGGCAATGGGCTTTTCTCCTTAGATCGTCTGCCCAAGTTCTGGGAAGCCATCCGCTCCGGCTGGAGTGCCCCTGAGCCCGCCTCCAAACCCTCCAACTGGTGGTAAGGTCGACATCAGCCAGCGACGGGCACACTTCCGTCATGCTGCAGTTGTGGAAAATAAATTGTCTGTGGCAAAATGCTCCTTCCAAGGCTCTGTTGCGGGAAATGACCATTTAGACGGGGGGCTATGAATTCAAGGGTGGGTCTCGGCACAGTCAAGTAAAAATGAGTGAATTGGGCCGGCAGTGGCAGGGAGTGGCAGAGACTAGTGGCTGAGTGGGCAAGGACCACTGGGTCCCTATACCTGGCTCTGACATGGGCCCTTGCCTTCACAAGAGAAGCTGGAATGTGATTTTCATTCTTATTTATTTTTTTGACACAGAGTCTTGCTGGGTTGCCCAGACGGACCTCCAACTCCAGGGCTGAAGGGATTCTCCTTTCTTGGCCTCCCACGTAGCTGGGATCACAGGGGTGCACCCCACACCTGGCTCTGGGATCTGATTTCATGTTAGCCACACATTTTAAAATGGCAGGATACTCCGTGAGCTCAGCCAACGTGTTCGCAGGCAGAGTGAGAAGCCCACAGGTCTCAGGAGTCTCGGCCCTTATATCTTGAATGGGTCCCTGACTCTCTTGGAGATGCTCACATCCAAAATGGCCCAATTTCCCCCAGTTAGAGTGCCAGACCCCCACTTGGGACACTGCTCGTGAGGTCGCCAGCACCTAGCTCCTTTCTGGCTTTCAATTTGGGGTCATTCCTTCACGTTGGCTGAGGGCCTTGAGTCCAGTAGGAGCCCAGCAATGCCAACTGCTGTTATCCTGAGGAGGATGACAGTCCTTCACTCAATGGATGCTCCGTAGCTAATAATTTCATGACACCCTATTTATTGAGCTCTTTATGTGTGCCAGGCATGGTTTTAAGTGCTTTGTATGTAAGGGAGATTCTGAAGCCTCCCTTAGCCTCAGTTTCCCCATGAGAGGAAACGGGCCAGCTATAGCTGTTCATTACCAGTTCCTATTCATTCTGCTCTCTTTTCAGGCTGGCTGATTTTTGAGCCCTGTCCCACGTGAGCAGAAATGTAGACAGTGATTACAAAAAGAACGATAAACACTCATAGAGCCCTTGTTATGTGGCAGGAACTGTTCTAAGCACTTTATGCACATTTATTCTCTTCAAGATGTGATTTTTGGTGACTGGGACCAAGGGTAGACCCAGAGAAGAACTTTCTGATCGTTCGTTCGTGTGAGAGGCGCTGAAGGAGGAGCCTGGGGTGGCCATGGGAGGGAGGATATAGGCCTTGCTGGGAACTCTCTGGAGAGAGTGGTTCCGTCTGAGACTGGAGGGTCAGGAGAAGGTAGTCCCCTTCTCTCACTTCTGCGGGTTTCTTGCTCTCTTCCCTGGGCCACTGAGAATTCAGAGACCTAAGTAATTCAGGAGTTGGGAAACCAGGCCCACAAGGTCCCCAGCTGCCCAGTCCTGCTAACTGAGGGACTCAGGAGACAAGGATTGCAGCCCAGCTCTCTGCTGGTCTGCCCTGAGACCCTGACCACCTGGCTCCCTCTCCACTCCCTTTCCCCTCTGAGCCTGGGTGCAGTAGCTTTGAGGCTCCCAGAGCGCCCTCTGGACTCTGATGTTTCTGAGGCCAGGCCTGGAGACTCCCAAGCTGAGCCTGAGAGTGTCCACACAAGAACCTGGGCTCCCAAGCCGCCTTCCAGTTTGCCCCTGTCGTTTCAGGCCTGGAGTCCGTTTCTGGGTGGTCTAACTTCAGACCCAGGCCCTGCTGCGGGGGCCTTCTGTCTCCTTGGCAACAGGAAGGCCAACGGCCTCTCAGGGTGGAAGGGCCCTGAGATAATGCAGAACCTGGAGGCCCACAAGGTTCTTTGGTGCTTGAAGGCAGTGGCCTGCCGTGGCCCAGCCCCTATGGCCAAGCAGAGAAGGGGACAGACCTGAGTATCTCCCCAGGGCAGGAGGAAGGAAGAGGGCAGCGAAGCCCTGGTCCATTGAATCCCCCTCCACTTCTATGCCATCTCTGGAGGGCAAGGGAGATCCTTCCGTGGGCCAAAGCTCAGCACTGAGCAAACCCCTCCTCTGTCTCCTGCTTTAACTTTTCTCCCCAGGAGAAGACTGCGGCTTAGTCTGATGGAACCTTATTAGTCTCAACTCCCAAGGCGAACATTCACATGGATTGTTAGAATCCACTTTGAACTGACCATGGTGGCACACACCCGTGACGCCAGCAACTTGGGAGAATGAGGCAGGAGGATCTCGAGCTCAAGGCTGGCTTGGGCAGCTTCATGAGATCCTGCCTCAGCAATAAGAAGAGTTGGAGATGAGCCCCGTGGCAGAGTGCTCTTGGGCTCCATAACCAATACACCCTCTGCATCCTCCCCCCCCCCAAAAAAAATCCATATGGTCTAACTTTGAGATAGTTCAGGACACTGAAGTGTCCTGATTCTCAAACCCTCTGGCTGCTTGAAACATCCCCTTCCTGCTCCAGGTCTGTTGGCTTGGCTTCCAGGCATGAGAGCCAACTCTCTGTGACTCTCCCACCAAGACACTTATTTCCAAAATGGTCCTATTTCCCCGAGTTTTAGAGTGTAAGACTCCGCACTTGGACATTGCTCTTGGGGTGACCAGCATCAAGTTCCCTTCTGGCTTTCAATAGAGGTCACTTTTTATATCAACATTGGCTCAGGGCCTTGTGTCCAATAGGTGCCCAGTAATGTTAAGTGCTGTTATCCTGAGGATGATTATAGGACAATGAACACTAATAATGTCAACAATGCCCCACTTACCAAGCTCTTAACTGTGTGCCAGGCATTGTTTTAAGTGCTTTGTATCTATTCACTCATTTAATCCTCATAACTATTGTGCTTTCTTTTACAGATGAGGGAGCAGGCACAGAGAGGTCAGGTATACCTGATTATGAGAAAGTCCACAGAACATGGTGGCTTTAAACAATATGGTTGGATCAGGTGTGGTCCCCCCCATCCCAGCGGCTTGGGAGGCTGAGATAGGAGGATAGCAAGTTCGAGACCAGCCTCAGCAACTTAGTGAGGCCCTAGGCAACTCAGTGAGACCTTGCTTCTAAATAAAATATAAAAAAGGGGGGTAGGGATGTGGCTCCATAGTTAAGCACCCTAGGTTCAATTCTGGGGACAAAATAATTCATTTTAAAAAATCATAAATATGGTCTGCATTATCATTATAGAGGACTGCATGCAGACTGGGTACTCAACAATGATCGATCATAAGATCACAAGAAACTATTTCTTTTTTTTAATGCTTTTATTGGTGCATTACAGTTACACATAATAGCGGGGTTCATTTTGACATCATCAGACATGCATGGAATATCTTGTTTCATTTCAGTCTAAGGATTTCCTTTTTCCCTCCCCTCTTCCCTCTGACTGTTCCCCTTTCTCTTCTCTACTGGTCTTCTTTCTATTTATTCATTTATTTTTTTAAGTGGGTGCTTTGTAGATGTACATAAAGGCGGGATACACTGGGGCATATTCATATACGCACATAGCGTGATTTTCTCCATTTCAGTCCGCAGTTCTGCCCTTTCCTGTCCCTCCTCCCTCCCAGATCATGACATCTGGAAACTAGTGGGTGCTCCACAGGGGCACAGGTGAGAGCTCAACCGATAGTAGAGGTCGTTCTAGGACCTGCTGCTCAGTAGATGCTCCCACGGGATTCACCCATTGGTTGGGCATTGGATCATGCCCAGTAGGGACCACACAGTCTCTGCCCTTGCCCCAAGCTGCTATGGGGGATGGGTACTCGCTGTTCATTCTCAAATCCTTACTGAGCCCAAGTCCAGAGAAGATAAGCCTGGGAGCTAAAGAAGTGCTGCTGCCCTGCGGCCAGGCAGAGGCCCCCAGGTCCTCACTCATGTGCAGGGGCTGTGTAAACAGGATGCAGCACGCTGGCTAGGAACAATGGAGCAGCCTGCTCTTCGGGGTCCCTTGTGTATAGAGGTGGCCTAGGTGTCCTGTGAGCAGAGGTGGCAGGAAAATCCTCTGGCCTCTGCAGAGGCACACCATGGCACTCACCCTGTGCCCTGCTTAAACATAGGCTCCCGACCCCTCCACCCTCCCAGGCTGTCTTCTTAGCCCATTTTGCTCTGGGGAGAGGGTATCTGGCCCCAAACCCCTGCCATCCACAAGCGCAGAGCTGGGATCCAAGCCAGGGCCTGACCCGCAGTCAACGCCCTTTCCATCTGAAGTGCGGTTTCTTAATATTTATTGAATGAATTTCAAGAGAAAGGAGTAAATCTTAGCCTCCAAAATGATCAGTAAATTAGCCAAAGCAAGGGTGGTGTCTCACTCTGGGGTTTGGATCGTTCCTCAATACCAGTGCTCTCAGCAGGCAGGTAAACCCAGGACAGCACTTAAAGGTCACCGGGGTCTCTATTGCCCGATCCATTGGCCCAACTGCCCAACTGCCCAGTCATTTCACGTCACTTGGCACGGTGCCATAATCCTGAAATTTCTTTATGTATTAAAAAAGAAAGAAAATCACCACCACCACCACATGTGGCCCTTTCTAAAGGATAACTTGATATCACTGTTTTAGAATTCTAGAAAAACAAAGGTAGCTTTTTTTGTGGCAGTGGAGACAGAACCCAGGACCACTGACGCTGCATCCCCCCCCATTCTTTTATTTATTTATTTATATTTTGAGACAAGGTCTCAATGAATTGCTGAGGCTAAGCCTCAAAATTATGATCCTCCTGTCTCAGACTCCTGAGTAGCTGGGATCACAGGTGAGCATCATCACCACACCCATCCAGCTTTTTGAACCACCCCAGGTGTTGTGTGTGCAAGAGACACACTCATCCTTCTCCTGACCCTCACCCCATCCCCAACCTTCCCTCTGAGCCTCAGCCCACCCCATCCCTCACCCTTCTCATCCCTGATGGTCTGCACGTGGCAGGTCCTGCTTATTCTACAGAGGAAGCAGAGACCTAGGAGTGGGCAGCCCCCCAAGCTGCGTCCACACTGCCTTCTTTTGAGTTGAAATCTGCACAGAAGCCAAAAAAGCCTCAGTGTGTGCTGGGCTGAGCGGGTCCCACCATTTTTGGCAATCTCCTCCGCCGGCTCCTAGGCCCCTCCCGATGGGGCAGGAATTTCT